CCAAAGCCTGTTTTGTAGATGCTGCAACATGATTGATTGAGTTGTGACATACCCCTTCAAATTTCAATGTTGCTACTATGGTGCAACAGTGACAGATGCACACTGATAGGTTATCAGAAAAGGTTCTTTTGGACACAGGCTTGCTTTATGTTCCACTCTTACAGAAAAACAAAAATGGTGGATTAATTCTCTAATGGCGTTCCCCACTTTTCAAAGAGACTTTGTTGATGCAACTAATTTGCAGAACAAAGCTTCCCCAAGTTGAAAGCTAGAAAGAATTAGAAAATAGTGGCACTGCAATACTTGTTTGAAAGCAAAATGTAAACATTTAATTTGAAAACCAGAAAGCAGTAACCTGACCTGTGTGTATAAACAAAGTAAAAAACAAACACACACATTTGCATTTTAAAAGAGAAGATTTGAAAATCCATTCCTTCTCGTTTACTACTTGAGACTTGAGTTCAGGATTCTGTACATGTTCTGTAACCATTGATGATATTACCACCTGAAACAGGAATCCCAGCATTATTTTAGAGGGTTTTGTGAAGATACTAACTATTACAGGGAACGTTCCAAATCTTGTATGCAAGACTTAGCAGATAAGTGACAGAGGAACTAATTTTGAAAAGCTTTGTGAATGTATTAAAAATACAATATAGTTTACCTTACCCGAACTTTGTTATTGATTTGGGATTATAAATGATTCTTTAAAACTAAAATCTTTCCAGTTCACCTTCAAAATTGAGTTTTGACACTACTGCCAGAAGAAACTTCCTGAGTGTGCACACAAAGCCAAGCCTCTCTATTCAAATGTACCGTAGGTCTTCAGAGCCCGTAACTCACTAATTGTACGAGACAAAGTGATTGCCATCAGAAAAGTAACCTGGGTAAGGTTTGCATAAATGTACAAGCTCAAAATACCAGTTGTATCCCCTGGCACAGCAGGAACTTAATTTGAGGTTGATAAACCCTGATAACACCAAACTGCTGGAGACTGAATAGAAACTAGGTGTTGTGCTTTATACAAGTTACTGAAGAGATGACACTGTAAATACAATAAACCATCTTTCAGAGATTAAATATATGCAGATGGCATTCAAGAAGATTTCATATGACAATATGGTAATAATTTATTCTAGAAATATACGTGGTGCTCCATAAAAGCAGAGTACAAATACCCTGTCACATGTGAATTAATCTGGTTTGAGGCACTAGAACTTATGCAAGAGCTAGGTATTATCATTACTATTATTACATATAAACATTTGTTATGCTTGAAATGGAAAGAGTATCTAATATACTATTTTTGGGACACATTCCAACAAATCAAACCTTAAATCCTAACTTCTCAGAAGAGAGGGTGAATGAACTTCTGAGAAGAGAGAATGAATGAGCTGCATTGCATATCTTGGGATGGAAAAGAAATGTTCAGCCTTTTGTTAATGAGGTCTGGAGAACTTAGTTTCCTGATCTCATAAAATTGGCTATGGTCACCTTTTATCAAAAGAGATGGTCCTATTAAGATCACGGAATTTCTCTCTCGAGCTCTGTTAAGATCTATAAATTGTATGTAATAGAGAACAGATGTGATCAGTATTCACCAGTGATTGTATCAAGTGCTAGTAATATCAACTGATATTTTCCTCTGGAAGAATGAATTTCCTACGCAAGCTTGAGATACTTCATAATTCGAGCAACAGCCAATGATTGACCAAAAATTCATAGGCCCAGCAAAATACAGCTATTTCCATTTATTACAATATAAAATAATAAAATACAAACAAGAACTCTGAAGTCTAAATACTAACCAAGAGAAAACTAGAACAATTTGAAGAAAATGAAAAAGTGGGTGTGTACTTCCTTCCTGTGCCAAGAAAAAAAATGGAACTGATGGTTAGATGAACAGAGGCAGTATTTACTTAGTACCACTAAAAGCATGTGTGAAGCACACACAAAGGATCTTGTCTTGAAGTAAAATTTAACAACTAAGCAAGTTAGGAATAGCTCCCCAGAGACCATATGACCCTCCTATCCCCAGGAGTGTGAAGCCACACCTTTAAAGAAAATTATCCATCAAGAAAATGATTAATCAAAGAAAAAAAAATATCACAGGCTTCCAATCAGATTCAAGAAAACCCATCAGCCAATAGTTGTTGCAGATGTAATTGTTCTAAATCTATCAATAAACCTAAGGTGCTCCTTCATTGACTGCAAACACCAATTTTTTTCACAGAGGATTATAAGTTGATGTTCATGGTCTTACTTCTGCCATTAGGGTGATAAACAGTTTAAGCTACATCAGGATCTGACATGTAGATCAATTCTAGGTCCATAAAGAATCTATACAAGAGGTTCCCAGACAGGGATTTACTGCCCCCAGTTTTTATTCTCTTGCTGCTAAAATTACTTCTGTCAAACACTTACAAGAGTAAGAAAAAAGGTAAAAAAAATTTTCATGTAGTCCTGGAACAGTCTTTTTAAATTCAGAAACTTAAAGACGAACATGTTACTGCATTTAAAATTATGCTGAGCAGCATGTGGTATTTAGCTAAATAGCGATCCAAACCTATGATTTGCTCACTATCAAGCAGACAGCAATTTGAAACATTGAACTAAGCTGTCTAGATTTTCTCTAAGGGCAGTCACAGGCTTCCTGTTACCAGTGCCAAATTATATTAGACATTTAATTTTAAACCTCAGGTACTTAAATGTAAAACCTTACAACAGTAATAGTCATAAAGCAGTGGGGCATTCCATTTCAGAGAATGGATTTTTCTATTTTTTCCCCTTTAATTTAACCAGCACCTCCTGTTTTGTGGCTCTGCCCACTACAAAGTAATTTATCTAATTAGGAGATGTTCACAGCTGCTTAAAAGACTGAAGCCCCAGGAAACCAAAGGTCTGGATAGGAAGACTTTGAAAAGTTCTCCGGAGCCACACAAAGTATTAATTTAATGTGAAAAAAGGTGCAGAGAAAAATTGAATCCCAATATGTTATTTTGTCTACAATAAAACCATGTGACAATAAGCAGGCATATTCTCCAGTACATTGGCATTTGAATTCCAAAAGATGCTTAGCTTCTCCCTATCCCTGCTGCTTTCACAGCATTATCTTTTTATGATTCTAAAATTCAAAACCTTTTATTGGGGCAAAAAAGCTGAAATTAAAAAGGGTTTTTCATGTGTCAACTGCCAGCATAAAGGATAAGTTCTACAATCTAAGAGAAAGAGGGTACACTGATGGAGATGAATCATTTTTGAGTTTTTGAAATAGTTTTATCGATCACAATAGTTAATGTTTATGTTGACATTTGTTTGTCTAAGACCTAGTGAAAAGAAGTTCTCCCAGTATTTTCAAAATGTAAAAGAGCAAAGCAGGAAATGATGCAAATATCACGTTTCTATCGTTATTTACTTCTCAGTCTTCCTGTATCCTTTGAGTAAATGGAGCACAGCTGACCCTGGCTGTTGTCTCTTATGATCCAGAAGTAATTACATATGATTGCCAAGTCATAAAACAGAATTAGATGTCCTTAATGTAAGAGGTATAAAATGTAGCTGGGTGTAGGAGAAAGGGAAGGCCTCTTTTTCATACCAGCATAGGTAACACACTCATGAATGCTGTAGGGCTTGCCCACATAAGAGACAAAAAGCTAAGATCAGCAGATACACCCAAAACAGCAACAGCTGTGTGCGTGTGTGCACGCACCACAAAATGTGTCCTTCTGAGACCCTTATAACTGTCACTATTTTAAGGAGTAGCCTCAAAAGCAGCAGTTTCTTTTTCTCTAATTCTCTTTCACGGTCACTTCATCCCATGTTGTTCACACCCTTCCTCCATTTACTCTGTTCAAGGTTCCCTTTGCTTTCCACTTTATGATTTCTCCATTCCATTACTTCCACCATACTTTCGTGGGCTCTCCATGGTGCTTCCCCTTGCCGCTCTTTCAAATACTAAAAATTTAGCACTTGCATAGTGCATTACTAACATTAATGGAATCTTCACAACTCCCTATGTGAGGCGAGTAGTATAGCCCCATTTTACAGATGGGACTACTAAGGCAGGAAGTGACTTGACCAAGGTCACAGACAGATTGTGTGTTAGACCTAAGATTGGAATAAAGGACTCTCTTGTTCTCAATCCCATGTGTAGTCCACTGGACCACAGCACCTTTCATGCTATTCAGACATTCCCCCTTGAGGCCAAAGCCCACAATGTGTGCTTAGTAGAGGAACAAGCTCAACTGAAAACAGTCTGCTACAAGTTTGTAGGGAGCTTATAGCAGCTCAGGCAACACCTCTGACGCAACATCAAATTGGTCTGGGATCTTTTCAGAAATCAAGATATCAATGACAACTGTGATTTTGTTGGACAAATCACTATGACAAACTTGCAACCCTTGTGATTGGTCAGCAGTTTCAAGGCTCTCTTCACAAGAGAGATGGCTAGAAACGTCTTTAAGAAAGGAAACAGAGTAGTCCTGACATTTACAAATTCCTCCAATTGAGGTTATGGAGACAGTGGCTGTGGGATTCATTCCAAAGGCTGGCTGTGCCTACAGCTAGCCAATTACAACAATAAAAATAAAATAATAAATAGTTCAACACTTAAGACCACAAACAAAGGGAATAAGGGGATGAGAACTGTGTACCTTCATTCACAGATGCAGTGAAGATGTCTTGGAAGCTATGCACTTAGAAAACAACCCTGGCTTTGCTATGCTTTTAATAATTTTGGGCCTATGTGAAATTTCAGGTATGGAGTAGTTGACAACACAAGGCATCTCCTTCCTGGTGCAGTTACGTTCGCTGCTTCCACAGCACTCCTAGCCTTTCCATGCCACAGGAAGAGATGTTTTGTTAATTTATGTTCTTCTCCCCCCTTCTCATCCTTTTTGTTCTGTTTAAATGGTTGCAGCTTTGCTTGGGACAATGTACCCAGATGAGTGACATAAGTCCACACAGAAGAACTCTAGCAAAAAACCCAACTTGTCTCTTACCACTGCTGATGCCAGAGTTTGCAATGACTGTCGCCTCACTCCATTGGTCAGCACTGGAAACTGAGTAGGAACGCTGATGCATACCATCGGGGCGACTGTTGAAGGAGACTAGACTGATCCCACTTGCCATCTGAGACACAGACGTACTAGTAGTCACATTTCCTAGAAACAAACAAAAAAAAACCCCGTTACTATACAAGATAATGCTGATTCACATTAAGGAGAATAAATCTTACAGTACCACAGAGCAGAGATAGCACTAATTTCATTAATGTGGAGAACAGCAGCAGCACTTGAATGCAGTGTTCGCTAAACTTTTGGAAGCTGAGTTCCCCCGACCCTTTTCTAGAAAATGGAAATACTTGCAAGCCCCCAGTGCATCCCTGATATATGTTGTTAAAAGCCTACACATCTTAGTTTATATATCCTCTGCACTGCCCTAGCTAGTCCTTCCTACCCACCTTGTGGGCGTGTGCCTCACGCTTTGGGAAGTGTTGGCTTAGTGCATAAAAGACATGCTGAAAAAACCCAATCCTTAAAAACTAATAAGCATTAAGCAAACCATCCATTGTACCCTTACAAAAGCAAGTCCTGAAAATGTAACATGACCCTCTAAACATAACTCTAACATACGAAACGTGTAATAACTTCATCAAATGGAGACACTTCAAACCCTCTTATCCTAATTCAATTATTTTAATTGAGTATCCCCCCCTGAATAAAGCCAAAATTGAAAAATCTACAGTGCCAGTAAATAAACTGGTACTAGTAGCATAAAATCAACTATAAAACTATAAAACCCATCTTCCACAGACTTAACTATCACCAACCTGGAGGCAATACCAGGGGGCAAATGGGTTTAGTGCTTTCATGATCCATAAGGGCTGTGACAGATAATAGTTCAATAAAAAGTTTAATGGAGGAAATAGCTAAACAGTGATCTAGTTGAATCAAGTTTAGTGACAAAACAAAGAAAACCCTTTTCATGAACTTAGACTTCCAGTGGTCTCAGTCTATCTTTCCTGTTCTTGTGTTTGACATGCGCTAGAAATTTCACTCTGCAGTTTAGTTTTTAATCACATACTCCATTACTGATTTACAATTTACTGTTTAAACAAATTTAAAATATTTTTAAAGTGTTAGTTTGATTTTTGTAAGAATGTTCTAATAGCTGCAATCTCTTCATGGCAGACTTTACCAAAACACAGTGGACATTGTGAATCCATTGTTAAGGCTATCCTACAGTAGGGTTAAATGGCTTTAAGAATACTATTTTTAGAGACAGATTTAAAGCATTTAGTATTTTCATCCAAAGACAAAATAACTGGTAATGGTTTTCCAGCAGAGCTGAATTGGAAGCAAAGTCATCTAAACCTACATACAACGTACAGTTAGTAAAGTTTGTAAAGCACCTTGCAATTCTTTGCTACTGAAGACTCTCTCTATTCTATGTGTACATACACACACTTTTAAGATACTTTCATACAAAAACTTTGCACTTCCATATCACTTTCAATTCGACAACCATTGATGAGTTCAGAAACATTGGTGAATTAAGATTCAACACTCTTGTGAGGGAGTTTATTATTATCTACTATTATTTAACCTGTGGAAAAAGTGGGAAATGACCAAAGATCACAGAGGAAGACTGTAGCAGAGCGGGAAATAAAACCCAGATCTCCTGACTCCCAGTTCCATCATGACGACTTTTCCCAACAGCAGTGTTTTGAAAGAAAGAAGAGCTTTGTGAAATACTTTGTGCTAGATGACCTCCTGAGGTCCCTTCCAATCCTGATATTCTATGATTCTCATTAGAGTTTGTGAGATTGCCTCCCTGAGACCAAACACTATCTGTCTATGGTACTTGTATAACCTCCATTACTGTAAGATCTGAGCACCCCAATCTTTAATGAATTTGTCCTCAACATAACCAGGAGGTATTTTACAGATGGGGAACTGAGGCAGAGAGAGACTAAATATCTTCCCAAAGCCACAAAGGAAGCCTATGGCAGAGCATGTATTTGAACCTGGTTCTCCTGAGTCCTGGGCCAGTACCTTTACCACTGGACTTCCTCTCTAATCCCTTTTTCTGAGCCATTCTTTTACGCATGTGACCTCCATAGTCTGATTGGCACCTATTACACTGGTCACAAGTTAAATCTACAACAGGTGAACACTTCTTTTGAGCCTGTTTGAACAACCAATTTAATGCCTTTTACTAAGGCTAGTATCTGAACGTCCTGTGCCAGTGTTTTCTAAAGAGGCATTAGGAACACATGTAAAGTTCAGCAACGAAACCTTGCCCACAAAACAGCACATATGTGGTGAAGATTCAGATTAGAACCCCACCTCTTGACTGAAGTCTCATTAAAATACTGAATCAAGCACACACAGTTTTTTGCATTCTTTCCAATTAAATAAATACTTTTTCTCCAAATGAATCTCTCTGCGCACCAGCTCATGCTCTCTCTGATATAGTATCAGCACACTTTTCCTCCAGGTTTTATAGTCTGGGAAAAAAACTTGAGTCAGAAAGTTGCTAACGAGAAAAAAAATAAACACAACTATTGTGAAAGCTCCATTTTGGCTGACACATCAGGAACATCCAGAGCTGAAAGATGATTCTCTACAGTTTGAGGGAAAGAGCCAAACTCTGACTGTGAGCTGCAGAAGACTCTTATCCTACGCGGACCAGACACACAGGGACACATATACCAGAGAGACCAGACATTACTATTTGTGAATCACTTAGCTCATCATCACATTATTGTGCTATTATTTTGCAAATGTGGGGGAGCTGTAGAAAGGCTAAGCTGTATTGCTTTGTGTTTCTAATGGGGTCTCACAGAAATGTGTCCTTGCCCCAGTGCTATTACATAATTTATCAGTGATCACATATAAATCATTGCTGGTAAGGTATGCAGATAACACACATTAATGGAGTGGTAAATAATAAGGACAAATCAGTTCTATAGAGCGATCTGGATCACACGGTAAGTTGGGCTCACTTATGTTCTAATACAGCTAAATGGAAGGTCATATCTAGGAGGTTATGAAGTAAGTCACACTTATTGGAAAAGGGGCTGTATTTTGGAAACCAGTGAGTGACAAGGATGTACGGGTCATTGTGGATAGCCAGCTGAACATGAGCTCCCAGTATGATGTTGTGGCTAAAATGGCAAATACTATCCTTGGATGTATAAGCAGGGGAATACTGAGTAGATGTATGGAGATGTTATCACTGGGTACAGCATCGGTGAGACCTTTAAGGAATCCTGTGCCCAGACTTTTAAAAGAATGTTGCACACTGGAAAGGGTTCAGAAAAGAGCTACAAAAATGATCTGAGGTCTGGAAAACCCGTTTTATAGTGAGACACTAAAGAAGCTCAATTTATACAAGAGAAAGTTAAGAGGCAACTTAACTTGAAGTCCATAAGAACCTATATGGCATGATTTATGCTAGTAGAGGGCTCTTTAATCTAGCTGACAAAGGCATAACACAAAATCCAATAGTTAGAAGCTGAAGCTAGACAAATTCAGACTAATAAGAGGACACTTCCCCCCCCCCCCCAAACAGAAAGGATAATAAACAATTGGAACAACTTACTAAGGGATGTGATGGATTCTACATCACTACATCTTTTCAATCAAGACAGAAAGTCACTCTAATAGATATGCTCTAGCTCAACCAGAAGTTACGGGCATGATGCAAAACCAACTTGGTGAAATTCTATGGCCTGTGTTATGTAGGAGGTCAGACTAGATGGTCACAATGACCTTTTCTGGCCTTAATAAGTAGGCATCTATAAAATGCACATTTCCTTTAAGGACTCCCTCAGAACTGATTTCAGAGTTTTTATATTTAAAGACTTCGGACACAGAAACTGATATGACACTTCAGATCGAACCCATATCTCAATCTCTTTGGAGAAGCAAAATAGCAGAAATTGATTGCTTGTAATTTGTATTCAGAGAACAACTACCCACTTTTCCAGTAGATGGGGTGATCTGCTAATGCTGATATTTCTGATACTACCCAGTTGTAAACGCTTGCGGATAGATGGGGACCCTAGACCATCCTACTCCCCAGTGTCCCAGTCTTGGGTTGTGAAGGGTTTGTTCTGACAAACTTTTCTGCCTTCCTGAGACTACTTCATTTCCTCTTCAAAACCAAAACAAACAGTAAAGTGCTTAACTAGCCTGCGCATAGCCAGAGTTCGTTGGAAATTTTCCCTTTCCCCCCAAGAAAGCTGCTATGATAGACCCTGATCCTACAAGCATACATGCACATGTGTAACTTTATTCATTCAAATAATCCCATTGGCTTCAAAGGGACTACTCGGATACAAAGTCACCAAAATGCACAACTGTTGGCAGGATTGTGGCCCTTAGTGAACACAGTCCTTTGCGATCTTTTCTTCACAGCAAAGTATAGTACAGGTGAGCCAATAGCCCAGCTGAAAACAGTTTCAAACTCACAAAAAGCGTACAGATCGGATGTCGGTCAAGAGCAAATGTTGCTGCTCATCTGGTCATACTATGGTGTCAAACAGTCTTAGTAGCTGACTTGTTCTGCTTTAATGTTCCCTGGCCTGGTGGTTGACTCTTGCATTCCGAGCATGGCACTCCAAGGTTTTCTGACCTGCCCACTGCCCTGTCTTCAGACCAAAGCTAGGAGATATATGAGGTCACACATCTCAAAGAATAGACTACACTAAAGATATTTATTACTATATATATATATATAAGATTACACTAAAGATATTTAATATCCATGGCTTAAAAAGCCCATACTGCCTGTGGAAGCATGTGATATTATCATGCCTCCTAGCTGCTGAACTTGGGACATTAGATGTTGCACATTAGAAATTCTCCTCTCTCATATATGAAATAATGCCTAGTTTATAGCTTGTGTTAGGAGAGGACTACTGAGTGGGATAGCTGCTGACCCGAGTGGTAGGGTCACTAGAAATCTTTGTTTGTTTGTTTTGGAATCAGGTAAATTCTGTCATGGTATACCAATTTAGAAGCAGCTGGATGAACAAGTCAGGTCTTTTCACTTTTTCTTTCATCTGGAAACAAAACAATACTACCTGCACTTCCTTGATCTCAGAAACCACTTTTGTATCGCATTAAACTCTAAACTCCTTAACTATTTGCTC